AAAAAAATTAAAACAGTGATAGGATTTTAGTACCATATTGTATATTGCCATGACATTGGGTACCTCATAAATTGAATCAAATTGAATTCCTGGTGATCAGTTTTCTGTTCAGAATGTGAAAACTGATGCTCAATATCTTAAAACCACTGATTGCAGATAGAACCTTGTAATTTGAAAGCCACTTTATTTGCTCTTTAGAGAGCCATACAGAGAATTAGAGATAAATAATTACATAAAATACTTGTTTAAGTTGAGCTTATGTGTTTGTTTGTGTCACTAACAATTCACCTTGTCATAGAGATTGTCCCAGATTGCAACCATCGACTGGAGGATTTTGAAATTAGACTGTAGTCAAATTTATAACAACTCTACCGAAACTCAAGGTCTCAAACTGCCAGTCTTTAATTAGCTGTTGTCTGTCAGGTTCAAGGGTGGCATAGGAAAGCAGCCTCGTGCGGCTTCCTGTTGGTTCCGGTGCTGGAGGTTCCTTTCGCTCTGACATCGTACCTGTATGGAGACCCACTGAGAGCCCAGCTCTTCATCCCTCTCAACATCCAGTGTTTGCTGAAGAACGGCAGCGACAAGCTGTTTGAAGGTAAAGAAGCCCTTAGTCTGAATGCTGTGTGTGTGACGTGTGTGATAGTGGTTCATTATCTGTGTGTTGTCACATCTCTTAAAGGTTTTGAACCAGAGACATACTGGGAAAGGATGCAGCTCTTTCAGGAGGCCATACTGTACAGGTTGTAGCTGTTTTCTTGTGGTTTTCAACACTGAAAGTTAACTTGGACATTATATGTGTGCTTCCCTCCTCAGCAATGGTTACTACAGAGTAACTTTGGTAATTTTTGGTAGAGAAATTATTATAATTCAAAGAATAATTTAACTTGAGAAAACCCTAGTCTTCTGTCATAAGCTGTCAGCTACTGATTACGGGTGCTCATCAGTCACTCACCCTTTAAGTAAGACCTCCTTCTCACTGACCCCTGCTTGGCTACCCTGTTACCCATGCCTTGCTACATCTGGTCCAGATATTCACCTGGACTTACGGTGGCCTCACAAAGTGCATTGTTTGATTTGTTATAGCAATATCTCTGGAACACCTTGAGGAGAATCTTTTCACATTTGGCGCAAACATTCACTTGAATTTTGATTTGATTTTGGTAGCCAAAAGACAAAAGGCAGGGTCACAGTGGCCTCACAAATTATGTGTATGTTTTTCTTGAGTGGGATTAAGATCAGCTTGAGAGAATGTTTTCAAATTCAATACGTTGAGTTCAAACATTAACTCATTGGATTTTGGTGCCTGGAGGTCAAAGGTCAAGGTCACAGTTACCTCACGTCCCTCTGAATGTGATATCAGGACTGCCCATTGGGAATTTAATTGCATCTGGTACAATTCACTTGGACTCACTGATAAACTGAATTGTAATATCTCAAGACTGCTTGAGGGAATTTCCTCCCCTTTTGGTCAGTTGTCACTTGGACTCAAAGATAAAGTGATTGTTTCAGTGGTCAAAGGTCACAGTGAAGTGTAAGTGACCTATGAATCTAGAAAAAAAGTAAGTAAGCAAAGGCATCCAACCACAGTGCAGTAATTCTAGTTATTAGCTTTTAGCCTTTATTGTTAGGTTGCTAACTTTTGTCAGATCAACAGTTGATCGACAGTAGTTGATTGAATTGATATTTTCCATCTTAAGTCAAAGCTTTGTAGTTATTTTCTAGGTTTCCTTCCTGTTCTCTTTTTTTTACCTGTAGTGCATATGTTTTTAATGTAGTTTATATATTTTAACATAGTAGTTAATGTTATTTATCCCTTAGCGTCCTTTTTTTAAATCTTGACCTTACTATGTAAAATTCCTTGAGATAATGTATGTAATGATTTGGCACTATACAAAAAAAATTGAATTGAATAATTGAACTGAACTTTAAAAAAATTATACATGGTAAATGGTCTGTATTTATGTAGCACTTTTCTAGTCTTGATGACCACTCAAAGAACCTTACAGTATAGTTTTACATTCACACACACATTCATACAGTGTATCAGCTTTGAGCCTTTGTGGGTTTTAAGGCGCAGAGACATCTACACACACACGCCTGCTGTCAGAACACAATCATTTCCGCATAGGGACAGGACACACGCACGCACACACGCACACACACACACACACACCATGTGCAGCAATTTCTATAGACAATGTGGGTTTCAGTATCTTGTCCAAGGAAACTTTGGCAGGTGGACTAGGGAAGACGAGGATGGAACAACTGACCTTGGGTGGGTGGCTGTGGCTGAGGCGGTAGAGCGGTTGTCCTCCAACCAGAAGGTCGGAAGTTCAATCCCCAGTYTTCCCATCTGCATGCCAAAGTGTCCTTGGGCAAGATACTGAACCCCAAACTGCCCAATAGAACAACAAAAAAAGTGCCAGCTATAGAAGCACTCTATGTATGAATGTGTGTGTGAATGGGTGAATGGAAAACTGTAGTGTAAAGTGCTTTGAGTGGTCTTCAAGACTAGAAAAGCGCTATATAAATACAACCATTTACCTTCTGGTTAGAGGATGACCACTCTAACCCCTGAGCCATGTGTGTAAAATAATACTGTATCTTCGATTGGAATGAGGCACAAATATAACTTCAGACCAAATGTTTTTCGAAATGTCTAAGTGACTCAATGTAAAAATGTTTCTCTTTCTTCCAGATTCGGCTTTGTGCACGACAAGTTTTCTGCTTCTGCTTTTAATTTCCCATCTGAGAACAAACCCCAGTACATTCACGTTACAGGTTTATTACATCAAATTACATCATAATATCACACTAACCTTTTGGTCACTCGACATCATGAAGCTTAAATCCCACTTGTTTCCTTTTAGGAACCTTGTTCCTACAGCTCCCATACTCTAAGAGGAAGTACTCGAGTGGACAGCAGCGCCGCCGCAGGAACTCCACCACCTCCAACAGCCACGGGCCGTTCGGCAGCGAGGAGCAGGTCGGTTACTACTGGGCCTACAACACCATGCTGACCAAAGCCTGGAGGACCGGTGTGCTGGGTGACGAGAGGCTGGCTGACCGCCTGCTCAGGGACTTCACTGACTTCTGCAGCAACAAGGACAATAGACTACTCAACTTCTGGGACAGCTGCCAGGAGAAAATGAACACCAGCGCTCCCTAATAGGAGATGGCTGGAGGGAAATTTTATGTAGAGGGGAATAAAAAGACTGTGAAAGATTAGAAGTTTTTTCAACTTATAGTTTTAAGCAGTATTCTTGAATTTCTTAAATATTGACTCCGGACACAGCAACAAGAAGGAATCAAACACTTTGCTGATGTAGAATATTATTCAAATGTATTGTTGCTGCTGATTCAAATGAATGAGTCAAAACGATAGACTGTATATAAAGAGGTCAAAACTGACAACAGGCTGTAAATCAGACATTTGAGCATTAAAACAGATTGCATAAAGCTTTATACTTAACTTTAAACCTTCTTTCAGATGAACAATGTCTGGAAAGATGACACTGTAGTGAGCAGTTTATTCAGAGTAAAATGCAAACTTTGAGCTTGGCATCACAGATGTTTACTGTGTAACAGTAATGTATTCATTTATAAATAAAATACAGCACATTCCTTTAAGCAGGCCTACTGTAGGCACATTAAATCAACCAATCAATCAAATGTATTTATATAGCACGTTATCACAACAAACAGTTGTCTCAGGGTGTTGCACAAAAGTCCAAGATCTTAAGAAACACAAAATCCAACTTGTTCCACACTTGTTCAGCTGATCTTAATCTTTGTGTCATTGATAGTTTTGTTATCATCAACAAAATGAGATGCAGCGGGAAGTGTCCGTCCATGTTACATTCCGGGACCCTGAACTGGGTAACACACCAGGATAGCCAGCCAGAGAAAGTCAACTCATGAGCCTTCACATGAAAATCAGTAATAGATATGAGATACATTTCCTGAAGAATGAGGCTTATTGAATGGAAATGAACAGGCCCAGCAAGAAAAACAGTTGTTTATCCACAAGGTACAGTAACATTTCAGGTCTTGATACTGAGTAAAAGCAGATATTGTTTTTAGAACTAGGACTGCAGCTGCGGCCACATCGTGGATCACGATGGTGGATCACGCATCAGAGTGATGGCGGATTTTGGATCATGTTGGCAGCTGATAGCGGATAGTGGCGGTGGGCCATGATCGAGGTGGCAGCTGTTTGTGGATCACAATAGTGGATCCTGATAGCGGCAGTGGATCATGATGGATGGTGGTGTTGGTGGATCCTGATTGTGGTGGCAGGTGATGCACTGTATGAATGCGTGTGTGAATGGAAAACTGTACTGTAAAGCGCTTTGAGTGGTCAAGACTAGAAAAGCTTTATATAACAGCGCTATATATCAGCTATATAAATACAAACCATTTAGTGATGAGTTGTGACTGTAACAGAAATGGTCTGTGTTTATGTAGCAGTATTCTAGTCTTGTTGACCACTCAAAGTTCTTTACAGAGCAGTTTTTGCCATTTACACAGTGCATGGCCGTCAGAGGCAATTTTGTGGTTTAGTATCTTGCCCGAAGACATGGCATGGAGAAGCGGAAGCTTATTTAACACTTTAAACAGGTCTCTAGAAACTGGCATATAGTTGATTTTATAATGCTGAAATAAATAAATAAAACAATAATTGGTGCAATATGACAAAACTGAAAAGATAATGCAAACACAAAGATTAAAGTGAAACATTAGTGCAATGTTGAGCTGTTACATTGATGTGATTCGGTGTGTAGTGTTTGGGTGGATATCCAAGAAAAATGGCTGAAAAACTAGAATCAATTTAAGAAGAACAAAAGAATTTGATTAGATCCCAGTTGAGGTGAGGTTGAAACTATAGTATTTGCTGAAAGTTTATTAGTTAATCTTTTCTTCTCATGATGACCAGTATGTGCTTCACATGTAGATATGTAACTAACAGTTGGGAATTTCATTCAAACACAGACACATGATGCGTATTTAATGTCCCTTTATGAAAGTCTCATCAGAGCAGCAAAAGCACAAGAAAGGCAAACAAAGTCATTGTAAATGAGATAATGAATGGTCAAAGAAGTTTTGGCAGAACATGACTTCTCAAGGGAGCTTTCACACAGCTCCCAGTCAAACATCAATACCTACTCTGATTATTTACCTGCATGATTTCCTTTTATTAATAATAACATATTATATAAATTCACATATTACACTATTGATCCCTTTAAAGTCTGCTTATATCAAATGCCATTCTGCTATTCATGTGTCTTTTGATTATAAAAATAATTGTATTCATTTTCCATTTGGTCTGATTATAAAGAGGTAAAACACAAAAAACTAAAATAAGATTACCCAAAACAATCACAAGATCTCCCAGCATGCCTCATTCCTACCATGCAGCAGAACAGGCTTTACATGAATGTCAGCATTTCTTTAAAAAACTGCAGCGCTCTAGTGAATTATTCTCTACTGGGATTCTTGTGTCCAAAAAACCAAGTACATGAAGCTTAGCGACTCCACAGCCAGTGAAGTGAGTCTTTCAGTCAGCAGAAAAAAAGCAAAATTTCCCTGCCTATGTTTGCTCCCAAAGTCACCCAAGTTTGAGGTTCATTTGTTTTTTAAGTGTCATCTGTGCGTTCCTTCTTTTTCTCATCATGCCAGTCTGTGGAGTTAGCGGTGGCTCTTCATGAGACTGACGGTCTGTAAATGTAGTGGTTTATCTATGTATCCTTCTGTGGGGGAAGATGTAGTGCAACAACCTGTTATTAACGCAATTAAGCGTTCTCTGTCACATCAGCATAACTGACAAGCTGGCAGGTAGAAATAATTTGAACTGGTCCACACATAATGAGTTCCCTTTTGTTTGGCTGATGTTCCTTATCTGCTGATGAACGATCGGGATCACAGTTCCCATCGTCATGTGTATTGATCCAGCTGAGGTGAGCTGAATTTTCATTTCTGGGTGAACTATCCTTTTAAATGCGACTGTGTCTCTATGTTCAGTAACGTCTGGGATCGGTCAATATAGTTTTGGGGAAAAGTTAATAAATTGTGGGAATGGTCAGTTGCTGAAAGGGTGAAGATTCTGCCTGTTTTCTTGCTCAGCCCCTAAGCTTAAAATCTAAGATATGAAGTAGAGTAGAGCTGTAGATCGCACAGCTGTCCCATGAACGGCTGAGCCTCTCCTCCCTGTCCAGCAGTTGGCACCCCAACCACACCCTGCCGCCACAAGCAGCCACTCAGGAATTTACCTGGCAAACTAACATGAATCAGTTTGCATCTTTCAGTTGCACTGTGATGGAGAGTCAGTTTCAGAGGTATTAGTTGATTCTGGCTGCATCATCAGAGATGACATCATCAGAGATGACAAGCAAACCACCTGCATAGACAAAGAGAAAGAGAAAGAGAGAGAGAGAGATACACATAGGTAGTAAAGGACTAAGCACACAATAAAGGAACAGCTACAATGAGTCTACTTCACTAAAGTAAACACACAAACTGTGTATTTGTGTGGTTGTACAACTCACGTGGTCTGATGCTTATTGGCCAGATGAGGATGGAGCAGAGAGCCAAAGCTGCGATGACAGCCACGCCTCCTGTCACAATGACCATGATGTAATGATAGAACCAGACACAGGCCTGACAACACACCACAGTGCTGAGAAAGAGCGACAACACATGTTACAGTGTGACTCACATTTTGTGATGATATCCCTCTGAGCAACTTTGCATACATATTCTTATTTTGTCTATTCTAATATTTATCTTTCATTATTTTACGACAGAGATGACAAACTCAAGGCCTGCGGGCCATTTCCGTCCTGTGGTATAATTATATCCGGTCCGCAATATAATTCATATATCTATCTTAACTGGCCCGCTGGTGCGCAGTGCCCGGCTAGATGCACGCGGAATGAGCGCCCCTCCTCACCTGCCGAGTATTTGATGTTAGTAAATTATTTTTCCAGTGTTCCAGAGATTCCAGTGCCTGCCTCGTCAAATTCCCCCACATACTTTTCTCCTGTGATGAAGATGAAAAAAACCCAACACAGGAGTTGTCTCACTGATGCACACCTTCACTCCATCTTGAGGGTTTCCACAGCAAAGAACCTAACCCAAACATTAATGAACTGGCTAAAAAAAATAAAAGAAGAATCTATCCTACCTAAATGTGCTTTCTTTTTGCACTTTATTCGATATCCTGTCTATCCTGTTTGTTGACCCTGTTTGGCCCTCTCTGTGATTGAGTTTGACACCACTGTCAATATTAAGTTTAGAAATCTTGTGTAGTGCAGTGTGTTTTGTATAATAAACACATAATGTTGTGGTTAAAAACATGCATTAAAAGGAGGAAGTTCTATGTCAGCATTGAGAAGCAGGTGTCTGACAAACATGACAGCTGTTTTGGAGCTGCCATGGAACTTTATTATTCTGTGTGTGTGTGTGTGTATGTGTACTAACTGGCAAGGGTGTAGTGCCTGAATGATCATCACTGACACTCCATTAGCCAACTTATCGGTGAAACTCATGGCTCCATAAACGAATGCTCCACTTTGCTGCAAAGAGAACAACAGAGAGATGAGGAGAGTGTACGCACACACACACACACACACACACACACACACACACACACACACCCACACACACACACACACACAGTACAGTACAGTACAGTATGAACTAGCGCCTCTTACAGTCTGATCGGCAATGAGCTCAGCAGTCATGGCAAGCGATATGACCAGGATGGTGGCTGAGCCTGCGCCCAGCAGCACAGCTGCCCCGTACACCCGCTGACCCATCCTGTCATCCAGCAGCACCCAGTAGGAGAAGACCATGATCAGCAGCAGGCCCACAAAATAGGTGAGCTGGACCATAAAGAGACACACAAATCCAGCTCAGGTCAAATGTAAAATTATGCTCTGGCTTTGACAACAGAGAAGGAAATCGACTGAGAAGGTATCAACATACTGAAAAGTAATTAGTAGTTTTTTATGTTTGTACTCTGTTGAATGTAAATGGTGATAATAGACTTTCATTCTAGACTGTTCCTGTCCCCAGACCTTTCTGAAAATTACTTAGAATTGTGTATAATTTCTTTACTCCATAAAGCAATCATGACTTAATGGGCAGTGAAAGTTAAAATTTTAAATATTATTCTATAAGAGTCAGTTAATGTGCATGACATTAGATCTTCATTTGAATGTTGCTAAATTCTGACGGCATGGGCTTATGTGACATTACACTTTTCCCTCCCACTTCAAACCAGCGAGAAGAATAAAAAAATACCGTAAAAGTTAAAGGTAAAATAACCAAAACTTGTGTTTCCACACAAGTCCATCATTGTTTTCTCAAACAGAAGTCGTTTGAGAAAAAAAAAATTCAGGAGCGTTTATACAGTATCTGCCTAACTTCTGCATTTAATACATCACAAAGAATTACTTTCATGATCAGTCAATCTGCAGATTATTTCTCAAATAATGATTAATTGTTTGGTCTATAAAATATCAGAAAATATTTTTAAAATGCCCATCACAATTACCAGGAGCTCAGATTCAAGTTAAAGCTAAAACAGAAGTATATTTGGCATTTGCTTAAATAATTAAAGAAACTACTTATGAATTATCAAAATAGTTTTATACCCATGTATCCACATGTTTATAATACAGAGCTCCATCCACATGTGAATGCTTGTTGATGGGACATTTTGAACCACTATAGTCGAATGTTAACTCAAAGTCTAGTTCTGATCGTCATGATCTACTACATAGCCACCTGTGTGTGTGTGGGTGTCTTTGTGTGTCCAGTTTTTCATCAGACTTAGAGGGAATATTACCAGGGAGAGTATATCTAGATGATTAACTTTGAGATGATTGGTCAAAGGTGATGATCAACAAAACAAAACCCAAAAAACACACTTTCCACGATAATTGGAAACAATAGACACAAACAACGACAGTTAAAAGCTTATAATGTTCAGGAAATTATTCCCCATCATATTTATCATATGATAAATGAAGAAGTCACAATGAAGAAGTCACAATGAATTCAGGAAATTACATCATACATAGTTCCAAAAATAATGTGAAATCAGTCTGACAGACTGAACTATTTTGAGGTTCTACTTACACATTTTCCAATCAGTTTAGTCAGAGGCTTCATAACGAAGGAGGACAGGAAGCCACTCATGTACATGACTAATGGGATCGTCGCTATGAACTTCTGTTGGAGGAGATGAAAGACAAACATTTTCAGGAAAGGATCCTTGCATGCAAATTGACAAATGTATGAATAAAACAGAGTGAATTTGGGTTACCTTATGCAGCCCTAGAGTATTAATAAGATACATTGAGATGTAGGTCTGAGACAGATTAACTATCAACCTGGTGGACATGTAGAGTAAGGCCACCTACAGAGACACACAGTGACATACACTTTCAACAAGTGACAACTCACTCTACACTCTTATGTTTCTACTTTATGAAGTTCTGCAAAACAGATGGCAACCATCAAACTGCTAAAATAGGAACTTCTAATTGCAAAATACTTTTCTACCCACTGCTGACTAGATGAGTAGCTTCAAGTGAAGCTTAGGTCAGATATGATTAAGATTTCCTACCTGGTAGAAAGAAGGCTGCTGCAACCAACACTTCCACTGAAGCAGAGATGAGGGGGTCTTAGAGTGAGGAAGCTCACTTGTCTCCTCTTCCTCCTCCATTCTCTTCCTCACATCCTCTCCTCGAGCCTCCCCTTGCCTTGACTCTTTGGTTCCCAAGTGGAAGAAGATGGAGAAGAGTGCACCGATACCAAGTACAATCAGAGCCAAATTCTGTCATTAAACACAACATAGCAGTATTTCAAGATCAAGTCTGTTATACAGAGGTAGGTGGTAAGCTAAGTAAATGAAGCATGTCAGAAACCGATTGGTAAAACATATGACAACTCTCTTGTGATAGACACAGTGTTATTAAATGGGATTAAACACACACATGTATAAATATATATATATATATATATATATATTTAAATCTTAACCCCTCTAATCCTTATAAGGAAAAGTGATATTCCTGCTTTCTGTTATACTGACACTCTGATAAAGATATCTTATCAAAAGGTCAACCATTAACCTATTATGTCATTGACCAAGGCTTCACTTCTCAACTCTTCCAGTGATTTCACTGGGCTCAGTTCCTGCTTAAGAATATTTAAACCAGCTCCTTTATGGTATCCACCACTCCACCATCTGTGTCCACGCCTGTCAAGGTCCCTGTCCCCCTCAGGGAATCCAATTAAATAGCAGCTAAGGGGAAAAGCGGTTGTTCTACAATCAGAAGGTCGGCAGTTCGATCCCAAGCCATAGAACAAAAATCTGTTGCTAATAGATCTGTATGCTTCCAGGTGACAGACTGGCAGGCACTTTGTGAGCCCCATGGAGATGACATCGACAGAAATTACATTGACGGGTTGGCTGAGTGCATCACCGATTATATCAACTTCTGTGTGGACACCATCGTCCCAACCAGGAACATCAGCTGTGGGTAACTAAGGACATAAAAGCCAGCCTGAATGAAAAAAAGAGGGCCTTCAGAAATATATTCACCAGGGATGCACAAACAACCCCCCTTCAACAGTCTTGACTTTCACTGCTGAGCAGGTGAGAAGAGAACTGAAGAAACTACACACAGGAAAATCAGCAGGCCCAGATGATGTGAGCCCAGGGGTCCTGAAAACCTGTGCCTCACAGTTGTGTGGAGTTCTTCAGCACATCTTCAACATGAGCCTGAGTCTCCAGAGGGTTCCAGTGCTGTGGAAA